AATCCCAAAGAAGGGCAATGCCAAGGAATGTTCAAACTATTGCACAATTGCACTCATTTCACATGCTAGCAAGGTCATGCTAAAGATCCTACAAGCTAGGCTTCAGCAGTACGTGGAGTACTCCAGAAGTACAAGCTGGGTTTCAAAGAGGGAAAGGAACTAGAAATCAAATTGCCAACATTCGCTGGATTATGGAGAAAGCAAGGGAGTACCAGAAAAAGATCTACTTCTACTTCATTGACTATGCTAAAGCCTTTGTGTGGATCACAACAAACTATGGAAAGTCCTTAAAGAGATGGGAGTACCAGACCACCTCACATGTCTCTTGAGAAACCTGTATAAGGGTCAAGAAGCAACAGTTAGAACAGGATATGGAACAACTGATTGGTTTAGCATAGGAAAAGGAGTATGACAAGGATGTATATTGTCCCCTTGCTTATTTAATATATATGCAGAGTACATCATACAAAATGCCGGCCTGGATGATTCAGAAGCTGGAATTAAGATTGCTGGGAAAAACATCAACAGCCTCAGATATGTAGAGGATAGCACTCTAATGGCAGAAAGTGAAGAGGACCTAAAGAGCCTCTTGCTCAAAGTAAAAGAGGAGAGCGCAAAAGTGGGCTTGAAGCTCAACATCAAAAAAACTAAGATCATGGCATCCGGCCCCATCACTCCTTGGCAAATAGAAGGAGACGTCGTGGAAGCAGTGACAGACTTCACGTTCCTGGGATCCCAGATCACCGCAGATGGTGACTGCAGCCATGAAATTAAAAGACGCCTGCTCCTTGGGAGGAAAGTGATGGCAAACCTAGACAGCATATTAAAAAGCAGAGACATCACCCTGCCAACAAAAGTCCGTATGGTCAAAGCAATGTGAGAGTTGGACTATATGGAAGGCCAAGCGCCGAAGAATAGATTCCTTTGAATTATGGTGCTGGAGAAGACTCCTGAGAGTCCTCTGGACTGCAAGGAGATCAAATCAGTCAATCCTAAAAGAAATCAACCCTGACTCTTCCCTGGAAAGCCAGATACTGAAGCTGAAACTCAAATACTTTGGCCACCAAATGAGAAGGGAGCACTCACTGGAGAACACCCTGATCCTGGGAAAGATTGAAGGTCAAAGAAGAAGGATGAGATGGTTAGACAGTGTTATCAAGGCAACGAACATGAAATTAAGCAAACTCCTGAGCACAAAGGAAGACAGAAGGGCCTGGCGTGATGTGGTCCATGGGGTCGCGAAGAGTTGGACTCGACTGTGCGATGAACAACAACAACAACAGAGAAGCTGAAAGCATTTTTTGCCTTTGTCTTCACTGTGGAAGATGCTTGCCCACTCCAGAACCGCCAATATCAGAAGGTGTGTTGAACTGCAATGAAAAAGGCAAATGCTATGCTGGGTATATTAGGAAGGGGACTGAAAACAAATCAGCCATTATCATAATGTCCCTGTATAAATCTATGGTGTGGCCTCATTTGGAATGTGGTGTATAGTTCTGGTCACCATACCTCAAAAAAGATATCACAGCATTGGAAAGGTACAGAAAAGGGCAACTAAAATGATTAAGGGGATGGAACACTTTCCCTATGAAGAGGTTAGGTTCTTTAGTTTGGAGAAACTATGACTGAGGGGTGTCTTGATCAAGGTTTACAAAATTATTTTTATTTTATTTATTCAATTTATACACCACCCTCCCCGCAAACGGGCTCAGGGCAGCTTACAGCAGTGGCCCAATTGCCAATAAAACCGATAAAACAATATACGTCATTTCATAATAAGTTAAAACATAAAAACATTAGGAGCATGTGACAGAGAAGGTAGAGAAAGAAGTACTTTTCTCACCATACAAGAACTCATGGGCACTCAATGTTACCATTACAGGATAATAGAGAAAAGCACTTTGCATGTACTTAGCAGCACTTCCTTCTTCATCTGTATTTCATGTGTTTTCCCTCTAAGTTCTAGATCCAATAAATCCATTTCCATTCAGCTCTCTCATGGGTTTATCACTGTAGTGTAAATGTGGTTAGCTCCAATACACATCAAGCCTAGTAATGCAATTCCACTTTCTGGTACCTGCTTATGCCACATTATCATCATCTATGGTACCCATAACACGGCTTCAAGACAGAACCAGCACTTATACCAACAGCGTATCTAGCAACATCATGCGTCTTTTATTCATACATTTGGCACAAGTACATGTGGCACTTTACAGAGTAACATTAGCAGAAGGCAAGTCCCTGCCTCAAGGAGTTTACAAGCTAAATGTAGACCGCGAGAAGAGGGCCAGGGAAAACCAGGGTAACAAGAGACTAACAAGCAGAGGCACAGTCATGTTTCATTTCAGGTGGGGACAGACTGCCAAAGTCTCAATAAAAACATAGTAACAACAAGTGGAAAGTGCTTTCAAGTCGCAACTGACTTATGGTGACCCCTCAAGGAGTTTTTGAGGCAAGACACATTTGGAGGTGGCTTGCCTTCCTTTGCATAGCAACCCTGGGCTTTCTTGGTGGTCTCCCATCCACATACTAACTAGGACCAACCCTGCTTAGCTTTCAAGATCTGATGACTTTAGGTTAGCTTGGGCCATCCAGGTCAGGGTAATGACGACTTAGTTCTACACACTGCTTTATAGAGTGAAGAAGAACTTTTTAATGTTACATACCAAAATGGTAGAACTGGCAGCAACTTATAGCTTAAAGTCCCTCTTCCTACAACAGTGCATAAAACATTCAACCATGTTTCTCTTCCCATTTCTTCTTCTTCAAAACAAGCAATTAATTACCTGATGGTATTTCTTCAGTATGTTGTGCATTTCTGCTACATCTTCGCTTGTTATAGTTTTGATGACATATCTTTTATCATAAGAGGTATGAAATCGGGCACCACTGCGAGCTTGAGAGTCATTTGCAAGCGGACAACTTCTTGTCAGAGAATTCTGTTGCAGAAATTAAAAAAGGGATATGTCAGAACAAAAATTAAACTTTGCTATACCAACAGACGTTTACAACAACTGATATTCATCTTAATCATGCAATTGCAAAAATACCCCACAGAATGAAATTCTTTCAAATTTATCATCAGCACTTTGAAACAGTTACTCTGGAATATGAATTGTTACTTAGGAAGTAAAGTTACAACATTCCTAAAGAAACCAGAGACACTGTGGTACCGTGGAGCACTAAGGCAGGCTTTCTTTAGCAGTATCTTTAAGTTAGGGATGAATGCACAAGGATGAATATTTATAGTGTAGAGAAGCCCCAGCCCAATGCCTCCTGAAAAGCCATGGAGATCAGCTGTTTGAAAATAGCCTTATTTCCAAGTAAGAACAATGTCATCATGTAATTAATAAAAACTGGCTGTGTAAAAACATCAGTGCTACTTATAGGGTGGTTGATTTTCAAACAGACAAAAATTATGTTGCAGCAGCAAGATTTGAGCATGGATCAGGAACACAATTTTGCCACGAGCACCTTAGTTCCTTTTCAGAGCCTCTCCCTCAGATCACTGAGGGGGTACACTTTGTGGGAGGAGAAAGTGTCTGAGGAATGCATGCCCACCTTATTTCTGCTTAACTCTAGTTTAAATTGACTGTGTTTGTGCCATATGACCCATGTGTTACACAGTACACCTGAGAGTTAGATGAACTGCCTACAAGATAAAGACAGAACTGAAGTTTTCCTTGAATGCTCTTCAAATCAAAGTGAAGTTTACTTTTTTCTACAGAGACCAATCAATCCCCATACAAGTGCTCTTGGAATAAAAACAAGATTGCCACTTCTGAATTTTGACAGTTTATCGGTTACATCGTATCACTGACAATGAACAGTCAGCTACCCTCCATTTCTCTCATCATATATAATACAAGCTGAAATTTAATATATGCTTTTTCAAAAGCTGAAAAAAGCAAGCTTTAGATTAACAAATGTGCTAGCTTTATGCAAGACTGCCTTTTAAATACAATGCAGGTTTATGCCTTGCAGTTTAATACTCTGCATCTTTAAAGGATGCTAGACTCAGCACGAATCTCTTCTTGGTATATTTCAAGCATGATGAAGATTAAAGTAGCCACGAAGCACATCACAACTTATTTTTTTAGATATAGCACTTTGTTCAACACACAATGTCATTCTGAAGGAATGAGGACATGTTGAAAATGAGGTTTGTTCCATCGCAATGTGGTGCCAGGAATGTAGGTCCAGGATGTTTAACTGAGCATTTATTTACACTGTGGCAGAGTTATCTTAATTAAATATACAATATGTCTTTCACGAATGAGTCAGAATGGTTGAAAACCTGAAGGTTAAAAAGCATAAATTCTCAGGGAACCTAGTATACAAACTGTATAAAACTGCAGCGATCATGATCAAAGACCCAGGTTCAAATTCCCACTCTGCTGTGGAAATTCAGAGAGAACAAGGTGTTTCCCAAGTCCTTGCAGGTTACCCGCTGTACAACTGGGCTCATTTTACCAGCCAATTTAAAATTGAAGGCTTCTAGCCGGGGAGAGAAGAGGACTGGTTGCTACTACCATAAATATATAAATATATACAGTGTTCATGGAGAGCTCTTAAGCCAGCATAATACAGGAGGCTTTTGCACCTATATAAAAGAAGACAAGACTGGCTTGCTCCTTTATAAACACTTGAACATGAAACCAGAAGATTATTTGAAAAATATAAAGAAGAAATTAAACATTGGGTTGCTCTTAAACAGAACATTGAACTGTAGCAAGAGGCTGACACCTTTACTACTATAGGATTACTCCTGAGGAAGACTGGGACGAAATGAGTCTATATCCAGATGCTCATTGAGAATGAAGGACCTGTAATATTGCCAAGTTTTACAGTATAATATGATTCTTACTTAACATGTGTTGTCATCTACATCACGGTGTTTGTTTAGTTTCCTGGGGAGAGGCTGCCAGGGAGAGGAGAGAAGGAAAAGCTGAAGACAGGGGCTCGAATGGAGGAAGGTTCACTGATGGGCAGGAAGGAGAGAAAGGAAGCAGAAAAGGGGACATGTTTGTCGGGGTTTCAAGAAAGGGAAGAGGAAACAGTGGAAGAAAGGAAAACAAGATGCTCCCCACAAGTCCTTGTAGGTCTCACACTTATATGTTTATAAATACTGAATATGAGAAAAGTAAACATCTTCAGTGATAACTGATGTGAGTTTGTGTTTTAGGTTAGTAAGGTGAAAAATAGATTGGAAGCACCCAGCACAAATGAAAGAGCACTTTAAGAAACAGATGCACTCAGTAGCCATTGCTAGGCAACCACAGAATTCTTGGTTTGTCAGGTAAAGGCAGAGAAATAGGAAGGAGCACTTTCCACAGCTGCTTTGGCCTTTGACAGAGAACTTTCCGGGGCTGGGGCCAGCAGCAGCTACTTAGCAACTCGCTACTATTCAGCTTCCATGACTTAAGTAAGCCCAGCTGCTTGCTACTATTCAACAGTAGCCACTCCATGAAAGCCAGTGCAGCGCGTAGAGTTTCAGACTAGGATCTAGGAGACCCAAGTTCAAATCCTTACTTTGCTGTAGAAGCTCAATGAGTGACTTTGGGACGTCACCCACTTTCAACCTAACCTGCCTCACAGGGTTGTTGTGAAGATAAAGTGGAAAAGAAGAAAATTATGTAAGCTGCTATGGGTCTCCATTGTGCAGAAAAGTGAGATATAAATGAATTAAATGATGAATATAACTGAAAATGGGGCAGATAAAAGGTAGGTTTGCTTGGTGGGTGGGAAGGAGAGCAGGGAATGGTGAGGATACCGAGGCTGCCAGGAAAAGGGAAAGAACAAATAATGTGGGGAGGGGATCACTGCTCCCTCAAAGCTGTGGAGCCTTGTGAGCAAAAATTCCACTTTGTGTGTTGCTGGCATTAAAGTTCTGAGCAAGCAGTTTGACTACTGCATAAATTAGTTTGCTCTGGAGCCATCCTTCCTGAGCAAAGACAAAAATGTGTGAGCTGGAGGCTAAAAAATTGTGAGCTGGCTCACAATAACTCAGCTTAGGGGGATCACCGGAGGGGATACAGGGGAAAGTGAGGTGTCCCTGCAAGTTCTTGTGGGTTCCCCACTGAGCAACTAGGCCAGGTTCAGCTGACATTGTGCAACTCAGCCAGAGTTTTCCAGGGAGAGGCTTCCAGGGGGAAGGAAGGGGGGAAAGCTGAAGGCACGGGGGCAGATAAGGGTAGGATGCCTGGTGAGTGAGAAAGAGTCCTAAAGAGAGTTACAGCCTTCTAAGTGAAGTGAATTCAATGGGCTCAGAAGAGTTTGACTCTGCACAGAATGGCACTGATAGTTTCTCAAAGCATTCCAAAATAGATCCCTGTAACAAGGCAGTGACAGGCCTCCACTGCTGTGCAAGTATGCTGATCTAAGAACAGAAAAAAGAAGGAAGGTGGTAGGAAGCTCTATTTAAAAAACTGAAAATTCTGGGACTCGAATTTTAATAGGAAAGGCCTTCAGGCTTTGCAAACACCATATATTTCCCTTGTGATTACAGCCCATCACATCAGGCTTGGAATAGGGAATTGGTAAGCCAAATCATGAATTAGTTGTCGTAGATTTTCTGGACTGTATGGCCATGGTCTTGGCACTGTAGGACCTGACGTTTCACCAGCAGCTGTGACTGGCATCCTCAGAAGTATAACACAGAAAGATGGAGTACTCTCTGTGTCAGTGTGAGGAAAAAAATGGTAGGCAGGTAATTTATATCTACTCAGGAAGGTGGAGTAGGGCTGAGTCGTTATCTTGTAGGAGTGTCCCAGAGTGTGACATGCTAATGGAGGAGCTTTCCTGAGGAGGTTCTTTTGCATATGGATTGGCTGTTGAAATTCTAATCTTATCTGTAGTGCTGTTGTAAGATGTACTTTGGGAACAACAGCACTACAGATAAGATTAGAATGAACTCTGGCCATGAAAGCCTTCGAAACCATATCAAATCATGAATGTCATCATGTATGGAGCAGGGAAATGTCTGTTACTCATCAACAAGGTTAACATTTCAACAGGCACAGGGAAGAATTCCAGGAGAACAGGTCTGGTCTCCCAGCAGACAGATGACAACAAGAACAGACAAAGCTCAGACTGGTCACAGGGAAAGGTGAGGCAACTAGCAGTGGCACACGCTCTCTCAACTGAAGGGCTTGAAATGGTATCCAGGAATTTACCCCCAAGAACCCATTACAAACCAAGCCCCATTGAAATGCTAGCCTGATTCCAAATGGGCCTAACCTGGTGTCAAGTCTCCTTGCATGCTCTCTGGGGGCAGGCCTCATCTTTCATGGGTTTCTGCTGTATTTTTGTCCCACTGGAGCAGTTCTCCCTCTGGCAGTGCACTGAGAGCTTGGGCTCCTCATGATAAATATTAGTATATGCTTTTCTGCACAGAACAGAGTTCCTGCACTGCACAATGCCTTGGTGGACAACTGGACACCAGTTGTGAGTGTTAATAATGGCCCTAATTACTTTCCCATTCTTCAGTAAAACTGATCTCTGAACGCTCTGTGCACCCAGCCTTTCAAATGAGGAGAATCAGAACAGAAGAATGTGTAATTGTGTCTCCAGAAATCTCTTCTAGGTGGCCATGGCTAGTTCTGTGGAGGTTCTTCCTGTTAATACATCCCTGTGGATAATTAGGATGCATCACTCCAGAAAGTTTTAAATTCTGGAACTATCCCCACAGCAAAGAAAGGTCATCAGAGTCCAAATCTGTTCCTCTTAGTCCTAGTCTTACTTTGTATGCTTCCAGCTCTACTCTCATGATTAAAATACCTATCAAGCTCAAACTGCGTAGAATAGCTTTACTAGTCTCCTCTTGCTGCATTATTACTGAGAATGAAACACAGCTGCCTGAACTCCAAATTCACTCAAGAAGCCAAATGCTTTCTGGGTTTTGATCTCAGGATAACAAACAAGCTTTCTGGTTCACAAA